CATTCTTATCAACAGAGAAAAGATTGAACTTGTCAAGGACTTCATTGTTCTTGGATCAACTGTCAACACTCATGGAAGCAGCAATCAGGGAATAAAAGGATGTATTCCACTAGGCAAATGTGCTACACAAGACCTTTTTAAAGTGTTGAAGAGCAAGGATGTCAGCTTGAGGACTAAGGTGCGCCTGACCCAAGCCATGGTATTTTCAATAACCTCATAAGCATGCGAAAGCTGGACAGTAGAAGAATTGATGCTTTTGAGTTATGGTGTTGGAGGATAATAATGAAAGTGCCATGGGCTGTCAAAGAACCAACAGATCTGTGTTGGAGGAAGTGCAGCCAGAGTGCTCCCTGGAGGCCAAGATGGCCAATCTTCATCTTTTATACTTCAGACATATTGTCAGGAGGGACCAGTTGCTGGAGAAAGATTGTATGTTTGGTAAAGTGCAAGGTAAGAGAAAAAGAGGAAGATCCCCAGCGAGATTGATTGTCAAAATGGCAGCATCCAAGGGCTCAAGGGTGGCAACAATTGTGAGGTTGCCCCAGGACTATGCAGTGTTTCGTTCTGTAGTGTATGGGGTCGCTATGAGTTGGTACTGACTCGATGGCACCTAACAACAACACCACCATATCCTGGATAGGAAAACCTAACATTGTGAAAATGTCAATACTTCCCAAGGCAATCAACACATATAACGCAGTCCCAATCCAGTTTCTAATGACATTCTCTAGAAAGAGGGGAAAACCATTACAAACTTTATAGGGAAAGGAAAGACAGACTCAGGATAATTGAAGCACTGTTTAAGAACAACGTTTGAGGCTTCTCACTCCTTCATTTAAAATATACCGCATGGCTACAGTGGTCAGAATAGCTTAGTACTAGTACAATGAAAGATATATAGATCAATGGAACAGAATTTGAGAATCCAGAAATTAACCCATCCACATACAGCCAGCTGATCTTAGCTAAAGGGCCAAAGTACATTGAGTAGGGAGGACATAGTCTCTTCCATAAATGGTGCTGGCAGAACTGGAAATCCATACACAAAAGATTTAAACAAGATCTTTACCTCATGGCATATAAAAAAACCAACTCAGAATGGATTAAAGACCTAAATGTGAATCACAGAATTATAAAGGTCTTCAGTGAAAAAATAGGGACAAATTGAAGGGCTTTAATCCAGGGCACACACAGACTACCAAACACTGCGGAAATTACACAATAAAAAGAAGACAAAATAGATGATTGGGACATTCTTAAAATTAGAAACTCACATACATCAAAGTATTTCACCAAAAGAATAAAAGGGAGCCCAGAGAATGGGAAAAAACCTTTGGAGTGACATATTAGACAAGGGACTAATTTCTAAAATCTTTAAGAAACTACAACACCCTTTACAAGTAAAATACAAGTAACCCAATTAAAAAATGGGCACAGGACATGAACAGCCACTTCACCAAGGAGCAGCCAACAAACATGGAGAAGTGTTCAATATTGTTAGCCATTAGAGAGATGCAAATCAAAACAATCAGGTATCATGTCACACCACCAATAACAGCGAATTTTAAAAATGCAGAGGACATTAAATGCTGGTGAGGACGTGGGACCCTCCTACATTGCTGGTGGGAATGCAAAATGGTCCAACTACTCTGGAAAACAGTGTGGCACCTACTCAGAACGTTGAAAATAGAAATACCTTTTGATCTAGCAATTCCTCTACTTGGTATATGTCTGCAAAAAATAAGCACCATATGCAAGTAGATATATGCACACCAGTGTTTGTAGCACCACTCTTCACAGTAGCAAAAAGATGAATGCAGTCTAAATGCCATGAATGGAAGAATGGATAAACAAACTTCCGTACATACACACAATGGAATAGAATACTACCTTGAAGAATAACAAGGAAGTTGTAAGCCACTGCATAATATGGATGAACTGAGGACATTATGCTGAATGAAATTAATCAGTCACAAATGGACAAATATTGATTGCATAAGACCATTATTGAATAGGCTTAAGAAAAGATACCCATACTAAAAGGGGAAAAAAACAAAATTCTTTGTTGGTTACTGGTGGAACAACAGAGCTTTCTGATATAGGGACTGAGACATAGTCTGAAGAGGGGAAATAATACTTAGGTGCTTGACTGTCGTATGGATACTAGTTTCCCGTGCCTAATACTGTAAAATAGACTCTTGAGTGGGATAGAAAGAATGTCGGGAAACATGATTACAGAAAGCTTTCCCAGTGACAACTTTCCCAGTGAAATCGGTCTCTTGCAGAGCCTTTGCAATGTATAGACTTCAGGTGCAATCCTGAGCCCCATCCAGAAGCTTCTGAGGTGGGAGATTCCCTCCAGAAACAACAAGCACACCAGTCTGGGAGAGCTAGAAGCAACACAAGGTACATCTTCAAAGGTACATCATCACAAAAAACCCAAAGCAGAAACGGCACAATGATTGGCTACTTCAAGAATAAGCAAGTTAGCAGTCAGCTTCCTTCAGGACAAACCCCCCTCTAAGACTGAAACTCAAAGGGAACACATTAGCAGCAGGTATGTAAGCTTGCTGGTGACCACATTATTGTACTGGTGAGTGGAAGAGGGGGAAACACAGCAATGAAGAAATGGGCTAAGTTCAACCACATTCCATAGACTGTTGACTTCGACATGAGAGATAGAAAATGAAGGGCTGGTTGGTCCAAAGTGTGGTGAAACCTGAGAATACCTGAGCCCATGAACAAGGACATAGCCACTGAGGGCTAGGGCTAAAGTGAAGCATCCAGCTGATATGAAGTGAAGGGAGGTGCACAAGAACATCCAAACTTGTAGACAGTACCCATTTGACCTAGCCTCCATGGCTTGGTAATCATAACTCAACTAGAGGAAGATTTAAAAAAAAAAAAAAAAGTATAAAACAATTTTTGATAAAAGAAACAAGGGTAAAATCCTACCATTTGATGAACTTAAACTCATGGATGTAGTAGTTCAAAATACAGAGAGGGAAGAAATCGTCACAGCAAGTATCAGTGCTATCTCCTCTGTACACAGGGTAGATAAGGATGGGCAGCTTAGACATTGACTACCTAAAATGAGGGAGCAATAAAGGTACAAAGTTATTGGCTTACAAGATTTCAAGTGGGAGTTTAAAGTTTAGTTTTAGAGTGTGTGGGGAAAGGTAGAGTCCCCACTGAATAGTTTTCATCTTGTCTAAATGGGTCTGGTAAAAAGATGGGCACAAGATTCTTATGATTCAATAATAAATAATTGTTATCATGACTAATTGTGACTCACAATTGTAAAGGTGGAAGTTTTGTAACAAAAGTGGAGGTGTAGTTAATCTTACAGTCCAGAAACAGAGGACCCTAGGACCATTAAGGGAGAAGAGCACAAGCTGAATGTGGGACCTTAGTCAGAGAAGCAGTTACACCAGAGATGGGGACATGGAGAGAGGAAGCAGCCGAGGACTCTAGATTCATGGAACTAAGAGCTGGTGGGCCAGAAGGCAGCAGGCTTGCAGAAAGTGCCCTTTGGTGGTTTGAAGTATTATATATGCCTGAGTGTTTAAAAAAAAAAAAAAGAAAGAGCTAAAATGAATAGAGAGGAATACTGTTAACTGATAGTACATGGAGGGGTTTATGATTATAATCATTGTAAGGAAACAAAGTATATGATTTGTTGAATGTAAAACTAATGATCTGCCCTGTAAACTTTACTTCAATTCACAATAAAAACTTAAAACACACAAAAAAGAACATTCATAAAATTTTAAAGAGCTGGGTAAACTGGTAATCTATGACAAGGATCTTGTTTTACTTAGATCAACAATCAGTACCCATGGAAACAGTTGTAATCAAATGTCATAATAATATATGGGGAAATCTGCTACAAAAGACATCTTTAATTTTTAAAAAGCAAAGATAGCACTTTGATGACATTAAATCATTGGATGCCTTGAATTGTCTTTATATCTGGAACCCGTTATCCCTTCATTCTTCAAACTAGGATAGATGGGGACTTGTTCTTAGAGCTTTATCCCCTGTTGAACAGTCGGTTTTTGTCAGGCTCTAAGTTTCTGTGGATGCTATACTTCTACTTGTTTTTCATCATATTTTACCAATTAAACTATATACAGAAACTGTAGCAGTAAGTATCCAAATGAAATGCTTGAAGTAAAACTCATTTGTAACTCTTCATTTACGTAGAGCTTCCCACTATATTCCCTAGGGAAATCTTACATATGATTAATTTCTGAATTTCTCTTTCATGTTTTCTTTGTCTTCTGTTGTCTCCCCATTGTATTATATTCCTAATAATTGAGTGTGATAACTTGAATTTGTGGACCTTGCATTTTCCATTTGTACTGGTATTTGTTTTGGGAAAGTAAATTTTAAAACACTTCAGCCCAATAATTTGAAATGTAATTTTAGGTAATTATGAGAAACTGCAGCCTTAAAACTTGATCTACATAGCTTACATAGTAAAATTAAAGTATCTTTAAAAAAACATATATCAGTATATTAGTATTAGACTGTTAATTTCATTCAAGATGGAAAGAGAACATGTCTTAGATATGCTATATCTAGCTTGTTTTGGGAAATAGCAACCCTTAAAAATAATGAGGTTTGGATATGTTCGTAGTGGGTAAAAGATTTGTAAAATATGAAACTTTAACAAATCATGCAGTGTTTTGATTTGGACTTCATATTTTAACAGACAAAGTCAAACCTAAAGCCAAAAGGAAAGAAGAACCAAGCTCTATTTTCCAGAGACAACGTGTGGATGCTTTACTCTTAGACCTTAGACAAAAATTTCCACCTAGATTTGTACAGGTAATGAGATTTGACACTTTTTATGGGAGCATGTTTATTCAGATTTAATTGAGAATTATTTTCAAGTGTGACCTAAACATTGACTTACCTCATTAGTTAAAAAGTGATCTTTAAATCATAGGACAAGGAGAGAAGGGATAAAGCATATATGTTCTGTGCTCTTAAGTCCTCAATGAATCTTCGCCAACAAACCGTATTTTCCATAACCTCATATGCATGTGAAAGCTGGACAGTAAATAAGGAAGACCACAGACAAATTGATGCCTTTGAGTTATGGTGTTGGAGGAGAATATTGAAAGTACCATGGCTGCCAAAAGAACCAATAGTTCCATGTTGGAAGAAGTACAGCTAGGGTGCTCTTGGAGGCCAGGATGGCCAAACTTCGTCTCTCATACTTTGGACATATTGTCAGGACGGACCAGTCGCTGGAGAAGGATATCATGTTTGGTAAGGTGGAGGGTCAGAGAAAAGGAGGAAGACCCCCAACGAGATGGATTGGCCAAGTGACAGCATCAGTGGACTCAAGCATGGCAACAGTAGTGAGGTTGGCCCAGGATCAGGCAGTGTTTCATTCTGCTGTGCATAAGGTTGCTATGGGTCAGTACTGACTTGATGGCACCTAACAACAACAACAAGTTATATTAGTCCAGTGAGATGGGCTACACCCTTAGAGCATTTTATGATGAATATCTTTTCAGTGTTATTTTCAGAAGCTGTAGGAATGGGCTCTGGCAGCATACGGGATTACCACCTGGGCTGCTGACTGCTAGGTCAGCAGTTCAAATCTTAACAGTTGCTCCATGGAAAAACGATGAGGCATTCTGCTCCTGTAAACATTTATAGCCTTGGAAGACCTATACAGGATCACTGTGAATTGGAAATGACTTGATGACACATAACCACCACTACCACTAGGATAGTTCGGCTGAATTTATTCTATCATAACATGTAAATGGGCACCCCCATTCTACTTCCTGCCTTACGCCAAATTCTTGTCTGTGTGTTTGGCAGTACTCACCTCACTACCCAAAATTAGGCAGTATGTATTGGATCGAGAGTGACATTATTCCAGTGTCACATAATCATCACTTATTAAATCCTGCAGTGCTAGCAGTATAAGATTCTCCCCTTTTCAAATTTCTCATAGTCTTCAAAGTGTTACTCCATAAGTGTTACTCCATGTATTTCTTCTATTTTAAAGGAAGAAAAATTAGTTATTTCCCTCAGATTACTCTAGAAATTGCTTGAGTCCTGCTCTGTTTATAAACTATGTGATATGTGGCTGTATTGGGAGTTCTCAATTTGAAGATGCTCTTTAAGGACTCACAGGACCCAACATAGAGTTGTGCTTGTGACTGAGATATATTGCACTGACAGAGTAAAAATAAACAGCAAGATCATAAAGGAAAAAGACGTAGGCAGAGTCTGGAGGAATCCATGTGCTCTTATTATAAGGAATCACACAGAGTACATTCTCAGGCTACAAAAATGTAGCAGCATATGTGTCTTTATTCTGTTGTAAGTCCATTAGAAATTAGACACCCAAGTGTGTGTGTGTATGGAGGAGGTTGTCATATAGCTATGCTCTGTCTAACAAATAAACAAAATTTCACAGTTCTCAAACAAAAGCAGATAGTGTAAATTGCATTGTATAAGCAGTCTAGCCATGAGGAACAACCCTTAACGTTAGGGTGTGGTGAAAACCTTCCTGAAATTCAGTTTCCCAGACACCAAGTTTGCTAGCATGCCTTTCTAAGGATAATAGGCTTGCACCTTCTTAGTTACCCCTTTCATGCACAGTGGCTATTGGATGGAGCTTGTTTTGGATGTTATTAAGTGACAGGATTCCCAGTTTTCTAAGTAGGTGGTTGACTATATGAATCTGAAACTTGTATCTTTTTGTAGTTACACTGGCTATCTGCTTAGTCTTTGTTGTTAAGTGCCATTGAGTTGGTTCTGACTCATAGTGACCCTGTATAGGGTTTCCAAGGAGCAGCTGGTGAGTTTGAACCGCCAACCTTGAGGTTCAAACCAACCTTGTGGTCCAGTGCTTATCCTACACTGCCACACCAAGCTTTAGTCATCGGCATATGCAAGAGAGTTTAGGGAGTGTATATAAATTTAGAAAGAAATTCAGAAAAGAAGTAAAAATATCACTCTTGGAAATTAGTATATCATTTCTTTACCTTGGAGATGACAGGAAAGGACATAAAGGTATAATAAGTTTGAAAGTAAATAGGAAACAAATTGGTAACAATGGGATCATTTTTGTTTTTCTAAACAGTGGCAGTAGGATCATCAGCACCAGAGTAAGGCTAGGTAGGCTGTGTAAACATACAACTTCAGTGATAGGAAATGGAGAAGACTGAGCCTAGACAAGTGAAAGCATTGCTGTACAGAAGAGAACATTCACCCCTTGATCTTCACCCCCAGTACCCATCAGTATTTTTGAGTTTCAATTTAGAATCATGCAATCACCTTCTATGCTCATAGGAAAATCACACTCTATCCTCCCCCTGCCCCATCATTATTTCCATGAAGTTTACTCTCTTGTCAACTGTAAAATTGATTCTTTCAAACGTCCTTCCCCTTTCTTGTAGCTCTTGTTGACCTCTAAGCAAATTGGCGTCTAGTGTCTTGAAAAGCTGCATTATTCCCTCCCTTTGTATTCTACTTAACTAATTTTTTTGTAAAGGATTATGGACTGGGTGTGGAGGTAAAGGGCTTTTTATGTCAAAGAGTTTTCATGGCTAACTGTTTTCTTCTAGTTTTAAATTGATGTCTACTCTGAAACAGGGAAAAAAGTAGAAAATAATCGCTTTACTCTTTATGAAGTCGTTTATAGTATAATTTGAATAAAAGTATAGTTTTATTAAGAATTAAGAAATTAAGGGAAAAAAGTAATAACCTGCGCTTTTTTCTTCTTCCTTTTCCTCCTTTCTTTTTATTTTAAATTACAGCAAAAGTCTGGAGAAAAGCCTGTCCCAGGTATGGTTCATCCGATACTTTTATTAAACTTGACATATGATCAACAGCATGTTTTAACTTTGTAACAACTAAAACTGTTAGGTGAGCTGTGGTCATTTGCCCTCCTAAACTCTTTCATTGTAGTTTCCCATTCCTAACCTTTGAGATCTGCTGAATTGCCAAAAGGTAATGATGCTAATACTTAACAGAGGGATGGGAGTGAAGAGTAGGCACTGAAGAGGTATGGAGGTGCCAAAGTGATTTGAGGTGTTTAGTTCATATCATAGCGTGAAAAACACTCTTTTGTTTAATTATTGAAAACTTAAACAGGTAATAATGTATCCATCTCATGAAACAGTTACATTTAAAAGATAAAAGTGTATTTGAAAGAATCTAAACAGTTCAAATTAACTGCTATCTAAATTTATGTAATCCTTTCTCTTTCTTCATTCCCTCACAAAAATAATTCTGCTTTTGATGCATAGCGGATCAGACAAAGAAAGAGGCAGAATCTATACCAGAAGCTGTAAGATCTGAAGAGAAAGAGACAACAAAGAACATTCAGCAAACAGTGAGCACTAAAGCCCCCCCTGAGAAACGGATGAGACTCCAGTGAGTATTTGACCAAGAGAAGCTTGCAAGACTCTTCTTTTCCACTATCATACCCTCAGCTCTGTGGCAAGCTCTCAAACTACGTGCTTTGTCACAGATCTCTCCTTTGTATGGAATTTGATATTTTGATTAGTCCCTTTGTGTTTTCTGTATGAACATTTGTTATGTATTTTTTATAACCCTTCCCCAACTGGATTTGATCAATCTATCCATTTACTTACATGTGTATCGAACAATAAAAAGTATTTGTATATATTGCTTCATCTTGACTGTTTTGTCTCCTTTCTGCACTTCTTGAAAATTTTCTAGCTGCACTTTGTGAACACATGTATTAATATTAAAGTAGTAGCTTAGTTTCTTTTCTATTACTTTTTTTTTTTTTCTTAATGTTTCTTTACTATTAAAAAGATAAACAATTCCTGAGTCTGGAAGATAAAGAAAAGGGAACGTTCACCCGCCAATACCATCACCCTACAAATATTGGATGGCACAGGACCAGGCAGTGTATTGTCGTGTTGCGCATAGGGTCCCTATGAGTCAGAACTGGGTCACTGTGAGGCAGAACCAGCTCGTTGGCATCTAACAATAGCGACAAATACTGTAATAGTGTTGTAAACAGTTTTTAATTTTCTTTCTCTGTATATGTTATTGTTAAATGCCGTGTAGTCTATTCTCATAGCGACCCTCTTTAGAGCTTCCAAGGAGAGACTGGTGGGTTTGAATAACATACAAGAATTTCTGCATGTAGATACTTAAAAAACTGTAGTTTGTAATTATTCTGTTTATACAGCTTTACTTTAACAAATTATGACATTTGTTGAAAGTTTCATACTTTCATATTAAACATTAAAATATTAAATATTAAAATATGTTTCATATTTATATAATTAAATATTAAAACTATGTTTACATAGTTTTAATAGAGCATCTGTTTTAGTAACTGAGTAATTTCTATGTATTATTATATCATAGTTTTTTTAACTTTTTCCTGTGGTATGTTTTGTTTTTTTCCCAGTTTGTATTATTTCATAGGAAAGCTGTAGTGATTATATTTGCTTATAATGCTCTATCATTGTTCAATATTTATACCCTTAGTATGATGCTGAAAGATAAGCTCTGGATTGTTAACTGCAAGGTCAGCCAAACCCACCAGCTTCTCCTCTGAACCCTAGAAAACCTATACAGGATTACTATGAGTCAGAACTGACTTGACGGCAATTAACAACAACAGAGTTGTAGAATTAGAATCACTAGAGTCTATTAATTTTCATTTCTTGTAGTCCATATTGCCAGATTGATATCTGCTCCAAATCTTTTGATCAAAACACTCAGCCAGCATAATGCAAAAGTGCTAATTTCGTCAGGATCTCTCTACCACTGAGTACTGTCATTTACAATTTTTTGTGTTATTAATAAGCAAAAAAATATGCTATTATTTTAAGTGGTTAAGACTCCTGGTGTGGTGCTATAGGATAAGCACTTGACTTCAAAGTTGGTGGTTCAAACTCACCAGCTGCTCTTAAGACACCCTATACAGGGTCACTGTGGGTAGGAACCAACTCAACAGCACTTAGCAACAACAACAATTTTAAGTGATTAACAAATTTTTGCCTTTGTTTTCTGTTTTTTATTAAGTGCTTCTTGTGATGCATGAAATTTTTCTGTACTTTTTGTTTTGAAACATTTTGGGCGTATAGAAAACTAGTAAGAATACTTAAAAGAATTCATGTAAGTGTATCTTTAGTTTGTAGTGGCCATGTATTAATATTTTAGCCTCATTCCTTACTCATTTGGTTTTACTTTCTTTTTGTCACTTGCTATTTTTGGGTGTATGTATGTTACATATATATGTATATATGTAATGTGTGTTACATATGAATATATGTATATATGTAATGTGTGTGTTACCTATGTAAGCTATATATGAATATATATATGTGTATGAGAAGTATATACTTTAATTTTGGGATTGAGAGTTAATTGAAATCATATGCCCTTTTATACTTAAGTCCTTTAGTGACTTAACACTTCTTCTATGTGAGTTAGTTGAATTTTTTTTTCTTCTGTGCTATTTATATATTTATATCATTGTGGATTTCTAGATTTTAATTTTATTCAATAGGTTATATTTATTTACTATATGAGCTGGACTACAACGTCATTTGAACTGGCAGTTCAAGCTCACCAGCCACTCCTTAGAAACCCTATACAAGGTCACTATGGGTCGAAACCAACTCAACAGCACTTAATAACAGCAACAATGAGTATATCAGTGCTCAAATTGACCCAAGTTTGGCCAATGAGAGCCACTTCAAATGGATTCCTATGTCCTTTTGATATGACTCCATCATTCATTGAGACGTTTCTTCACATTTTTGTCATAATAAGATATCCCAGGCTCTTCCCAGATCTGGAATCAGCCATTCGTTTCTTTTAGTAGAGCATGGCATTTAGAAATCAATCTGGTGGGAGCTAGGTATGCTCATTGCCACTACAGTGTTATAATTTCTAGACCTAGCTGACAGAACTAGGAGACATTCATGTGTGTGTTATATGTGTTCACCACTCGTGTGTCAGTTTGTCGTACTGTGATGGCTTACATGTTACTGTTAGGTGGGAAGCTATGTCTTTGGTATTTTAAAAACCAGAAGGTCACCCATAGTGGACAGATTTCAGCCATGCTTACAAACTAGAAAGAAGGAGAGGTAGATTACTTCTCAATATTTAGCCAATGAAAACTTATGAATAACAGAAGAACATTGCCAGATATGGTACCTGAATACTGAATAGTGGAACATTCTGAGTAACATCAGAATATTGTCAGATACAGTCCCGGAAAATGAGCTCCCAGGTGAAAACACTTTAAATATAACTGGGGGAAGAACTACCTCCTCAAAGTAGAAGTGACTGTGATGAGTAAAGCTTTCGGAATCTTCATTTGCTGAAGGGCCACAACTCAAAATGGAGTGAAACAGCTAAAAACATTCATTAATAATTGAAACATGGAATATACAAAGTATCAATCTATGAAAATTGGAAGTTGTCAAAACTAAATGGAACACATAAAAGATTGATTTCTTAAGTATTCATGAGCTGAAATGGACTGGTTTTTGACATTTTTCATCTGGCAATCATATGGCTTATGCCAAGAATGACAATTTTTTTTGTCATATAAAAGAATATTTCTTCCAGAAAAAGATGGCGGATCGGGCTGGAAGTGCAGTGACGAGTTCTGCTGGGAACAACACAGAATACAGGACCAAGAAGGCTCAGGGGACGGTCCCAGAACTCTGAACCACATATAAAGGAATATTTAGAAGGTTGGAAGACTTACAGCTGGGGAGTTTGTGGCAGAAGCAAGAAATCCATTACTTCCTGGTT